CTTTGACCAAAGCGGTTTATTATTTTTGATTAAATACTGTATCGATAGCGTACCTACATATTTCTGCTCCGTTAATTTTCTACTTAAATGAACTTGAATAGACGCAGAAATGTATAGAGTTTTAGTAGGTTTGTTTGGAATTTACCTATTTGGAGACCTACCTGTGATTTCTACTTCACCATACGTTTACTTGAACAGTGTAGAACTACACTTTCTTTCTTTGTCTTTGTCTCTATCTTTTGTCTTTGTTAAAGTCTAAACTTAAGTTTTTAAACTAGAGCCTTATTTGTCCAATTACGTCATAAAAATTTACACACTATACTCTATACGGTTCAAAAATTTTTATTTAGAACAAAAGAATAAATTAGGAGTCTGTAAAATAGACTAGATAATTGCATTGATAAAACTAAAGTTTTGCAAACAAAGGAACAAGTAATATGAAAATACAAAAAAGTATCAAAGTGGAAATGAATTAAATAGACTTACAAAGGCGAGATAAAATGAAATGAAATTGCATTACTAAGAGCAGGATATCTCACTTCTCTTATTAGTCTAGGAACTTCCTTTGTCACCTTCTTCCAGTTTATCAGTATTTATATTATGATAATAATATATCTTTATTAACACTTTTGCCCTACAATTAGAGCAGAGCTGCAAAGATACAATTTATAGGTGTGGATATAAAGAAGTACAGAATATAAAAGAAGTAGTACCAAATTTACGAAATTTTGTCTCCTAAACTAGTCAAAAGACTGAATCTTTGAATTAGAAACATAAGAATAGGCATTGACTATATTGGTTTTAAGTACTTTCACAGGGCAGAGTTCAAACGACCTTTAGGTATTTAATTAAGATTATCCTATACGAATTGGCAGGCGAATCCGTAGCATTTTGAAACACGTAGTAAAGGTATCAGATGTAATCCTACTGTGTTCTTAAATTTTGACATGGACCGGAGTATGTTAGGTAACTTTCCAGAAACAGGTTTCCGTTTGGTCGCACACTTATAATTAGCAAACTGAAAATGCTTTTGTAAAATTGTTGGTAGGTCGGGAACTAAAATTTTCCTATTACCTGTTTTATATTTTTGTTTGAATAAATTTCGTCTGTTAATAAATACTGTATGAGAAGAATATTTTGGAGTCCATTTTAAATAACCAAAAGCTCTTGTAGTATCAATTACATTTTAACAAGTGCTGCATGTCTTATCGAATTAAACGCAAGTTCATTGAACTGTTAATAACATATGAACATAACGTGAACAACATAAGTGTATTGAACGGAATAGAATGCCTCCAGAACGTCTATTACTAATTGATTCGAAACGATAGGAGATGATGATTGAGCAAATTAGAACAATTTGAGTAATAAATGAGAAACCAGTAGCATTGAGCGTGAGTCATAGAGTTGTTGGTAGCCGATATGAAGAAAAGTCACCGCTATCTATGTAAGCTGCATCTGCTTACGTGCAACTCCAAGCAGATGCGTCTGTTATCACGCGGTCGCATTCCACCGGCCGGCAGCGAGCTTGATTGATAACCATACTTATGTATCATCAACGCTACAATACACCTTATGTCGCTTGTATGCAAGCCCTAGATGCGACAATGCGATCTCTTGCTCCACTCTCAAAGAAAATGTATTTGAACACGAACGCGTGACATGGAATGGTAGATAAATAGTTACAAATGGTCACTAGCAGTTACTTGAACTTAAAAAAATTACAACAATGATCATTAGCGCAAGAGACCGGCAAGTTAGCGGATATTAATAATAATTTGAGTCCATTACTCTGTCTGTGAATTCGCCTGTAGCTATCCTTAATTACCTAGTCATCCACTGGGTTATTAAGGTCCGCAAAGCTCTGTTGCGAGATTCGCAAGACTTATGACTCTTGAACGTACACTATCCTGTATTTAGTGGGCACTGTTATGAGAACAAGTACTGGGAAAGGAAATTTAATGAATGGGCGAATATGTTAATAAAACTGCAATTTACTGAGTTGTTTCACGGGGGTAATGCGCATTTACGCATAATTATAAATTTCGTTTGAAATAGGCACTCTTGGAATTGAATCTTTTGAGGTATCTGTCTCATTTGTTAGATAATAATTTATAAATGAAGAGACCAGGGAAAGAATTATCAAAGTCATTTAAAACACGTTTTCAGTCACTGCCACCCAGTTCGGTAAACGCTGAGCGTAATTTGCCTCAATCAGAAAAAGGCTAACAGGGTTCAATGTCCTGAAAATTTTGCTTTAATTTTAGACATAGAAATGTTTGCGACTAAATGGTAAAAAAGGCAACAAAGATTTATGAATATTTTTGGTTAAAATGGATTACATAGCGCTCCATACATTTATGTCTGCATTGACTTTATTTAAGGTAGTATATGTGCGTGTCTTTTTCACCAATATTTAAAAGTTTTTCAAATTAAAAATTATTTTTTCCTACAATTCTCCCTAAGTGACTTTGATCATTCTGTCCCTGGACTCTTCAAACTTTATCTCACCGATAGTGTATGACTCTTAAGTTAGTTTGTAATGCTGGAGGCATTTTAACAGTCCGCTTTAGACATACGTAAGTCGTGAGCCAATACGCGATATAGGAAATCTGCGTACTGTTTATATACAATGCTTCTATCGAAAGTCGTCTCTGGCATACGTATCATGATGACATCATCGTGACACTGATGCGATCATTTCAGCTTAGGACGCCACCACAATGACTCGAAAATCTATTTTAATTTGTACTTAATATCTATTGCAAAATAATTAATGAAATATCATAGCCAAACATTCTATTACAGATTCGATAAGTTATTGTTACTTACATACGTAATGTCAATAGCGAAATTGTTCAGTTTATTCGGTACTATATATAAGTTGACGGTCTCAGTTACAACGTTTGTAAAGCAAATATTACGAGTATGTTCAAGTACCGTAACCTACTTGGATTCTAATAACACGTCGCTGATTTCAAAAACACGAGTTTTCTTGCATTGTTTTGTTACTTGTACAAAAAGAACACTTATGTTAACAGGCTTTACTTCGTACTGAATGGAGTTTTATTTAAAAATGCAAGACGGGTCTCGTTGGTGCATTTCTGGTCTAGTCATCATCATTACCATTAGTTTGTTAGATCGGGATCTCTCTCACAGTTGTGTTTAACGTAAGTGTTACATCAACGTAAATACTTACCTAATTTGTTTTTTATATCAAATTTGAAGCATCTACACTAAGTGGTTTTTTTGATAGTATGATAAAAATCTTATCCAAGTTCCAAGTTCTATGTTTCAGACCTACTACTCACTATGATATCGAATGATTCCACTGCATTATTTTCTCATGACTGTGATAAACATTTGATGCTAACTCTCCATTACATATACTCATCGATAGAATAAACTGTGTAATTTAAAACTAAAAACGGTGTGTGTATGGGTCTTTATAAAACAAGCGAATTGTCACGTGGGTGTCATACTGTTACGATTATCAATGGAATTTGGGCGCAAAGCAACAATAGTACTATATTTCTCGGAACACATAGACAAGCGGTTTCGAAAACCAATTTTAAATCAAATCTATATGATAATAACATAAAATTTCTAGTGTGTAATATTTCAAAAGGATGCTGTAATGTACATTTATTTGAACATTGAATTGTCTAAGAAGCTTCCCGGAACAATTGACCCGATTCCGTTTTCAAATACTCCCTTTTGCTGTCTGTACATCAAAGACTTTGTTAAAAAAAGGATTAGCTCACACGTCTCCAAATCAAAGTAATCATAAAGCGCTTAGGTATACTAAAATAGATATACCGGGATGCATGTATATTTATGCAAAAGCGATGATATTCTCATGACAGGTTACGCAGAGTTGTCGAAGATCCCGAGGAATAAACATGAATACATCGACTGACCACCCAGCGGACAATTTGATTAGATGCTCAAATGGGTTACCAATCTATTTAGCATAACTAACAGCAGCAAAATTCCACCGGCACTGAAGTTAGAGTACGCAGACCGATGACAAAAAACTTAGAGATTCCTGTTTCTAAACATGACGTATATCTCTATGTAGTTTTACTTGCGAGAACGGACCTGAACTTTGTCGACTTTTGATTTTATGTTCAACCCAGTAAAGTTCTTATTCCTTAGCTTGTTAATCATAAGGGTTAAAGTAAGTTTGATTGCAAGTTTTAAAGTGTTCGCGTGTTATTCAACAACAATATTGCGTCTTTGTAATGAAGTCCTCAAGTAAGATAAACAGGCGGTCCGCGTACAAGAATCTAGCTCACCTTGAGCATTATTTCCTACTACTTACCGGCGCGCCTCGCATCAAGCCGCTGTCCCGCTACAGCGAGAAGAGTTTTGATTGAAAACGAATTACTCACATTTGCATATTCATTTTGGTAACACGAATTACATCCTTTGCATTGTAAATATTTCACAAGTCTCATTCTAGTCACCATATTTACTTTAAGATTCAGAAATTTAAATTTCGCTTTATAAAAGAAGCCAAGATAAATAAAGCTTATTAGCACAATACTAACACTGCTAATTGCGAGTAACTGCAAATAATAACGCAAAGCAGATAAAATTTACAGAACATCGAAATAGTTTGCACAAATAGTCGGTTGAGTATAACCGGAGTACAATGTAGAGACATGGTCATGCGCTGTAAATGCAACGACCGTATCTTCAATGAACGTACTTATTGTCATCCATGAAGCTAATACAGTCTTACGTTCATTAATTTTATGATTTTGGTCAATATATTGTGTAAGCCTGCGCGATGCAATACAAATTTATGATCTTTTCGTAAGTTTCAATCAAAATAGTTAAAGTTTCTACACTGCGCAATTTAGACATAACTTAGAAAATAGGATTTAACCTTTAACAATGTACACTTAAAGTAGCCAACTGAGGCTAGAGGTATACACAAGTAAAACCAACATATCCTATTGGACAAGCAAAATTTAAATGTTAAGTAAACGTACCGTTTTGCAACGAAAGTGCAAACAACTCGTCGTCTTGCAGCCATCGTAGCTCGCTAATTATAGACATATCAGCGTCGAACGACATTAATGCGGCATGATAACCAGCATAACAACAATCACAACAATTCAAATCAAATGATTACTAGGTTACATGTCAAACACAACACAAATAAATCGATCCATTCGAATATCATCGCAGCACTAACACAGAAACCTGCGAAGCGGAACGTCAAAACATTTTTATGCGACTTGAATTATTCATAAAAAAATCTCGCGCCATAACACAGAAAAACACTTCTGTTGGTGTCCTAAGTTCTTATTACAAAATACTTGAGTGTGTACACTTAGTGCATCGTGCTAAAATCCACACGTAAATCGTTCGTGAACTGTTACGAAATGTCAAATTTTGACAGCTGACGATCGTGAACTCGGGGTGAACGATCGACGTGCGCGCAGGCACAACCACTCGCGTGCAATGCGCGTGGTCGGTTCAACCAAACTGACTGCGTGCGCCGAGGCGACCGCGCTTAGCGGGGGGCCTACCCGTATGACACGTCCTAAAAACTATAGGTACCTTATCGATAACTTCTGTTAAAATTCACAAACTTTACAGCACAAAAATCGCTACCTTGTAGCGCAAATTCTGTATTTGCGCATTTACACGAGTATCGCTATGCTGTGCGCGACAGTGTTTTCGTTCATCAATAACGTTTCCTTGGTTTAGCATTGTGTATCGAAGCAATCTAGCAGTTTATGGCTATTTTAAATTTGCGGCAATACGCAATTATTTCTTGCTACTACAGAAAAAAAAACATTATTAAAGATGACTGTGCAACTTCTTATTACGGGTTACCAAAAATGTAGTTAACTCCATTCCCAAATAATCATGCCCTCAGTAATCTGAGATCATGCCCATTAAAAAAAGGGAAATGATAAAAATCCAAAGACCCAAGAGACCAAGAGTGAGATGTCTCTTTATTTACATAGACATTGTTATCTTTTTTCTAATGACAAATAATAATGTTAGTTATTCATAGTCATCGCCCTAAATTAGCGTGTTGATACGAAAAAACAGTTTCGTCATACAAACTTATTAGATAAACTAATGAGTAAATATTTAAAGATATGTTACTTAATTATTATAGTAAAAATATTCATTTTTTAATTTCAAACCAACCTAACGTTACAAATAAGAGACACTTAAATTTATGAGGAGGCAACAGCTATGTTCAAGGCCATTTTAAGAAAAAGGAATTGGTAATCTAAAAAAATATATCTAATTCTTCTTCTCATTTTTTTAACAATTTTCAAAATGTTAGTGTTATTAATCAAAAAACAAAAAATATTACAAGCTTTCATATTAAGTTTCATTCAATTTTATTTAACATATTATTATTTCACCTGGATCCAGGCAAATACCTTCCTAGAAATTAACGTTAGGCCTACGCCAAGGTAATATCCCTTTAAATATTCTTTGGTTGTCGTTGCTAGTTCATGGCAGCTGATTATGATAACAATAATGTGCCAGTCTACGACACCAATTACCGGGTTCTCAAACAAGGAATTTCCCTGTACCGTAATAACCACGGCAATGAAATTTGCCCCAAGGGTACCCTATTACAATTTAGAAAAATTGATTTTCCAAATTGATCCTACTGGGATACAAACCTGGAACCGTCGACGTCGAGATCGATAGTTTAGTTTCTTATCAATGATATTTCATTACACCAACATTAACAAATTTGCCATATCATATCAAAATTCTTATCTTTATCAAAAGTCTTATCAAGTTCATAGTAAAAAATTCTAAAAAGAAAATACCTTTCTGGGAAGAAGTCTTTAAGAAATTGAAAGTGGTTTAGGGACTATAGCGTCTATCAAAATCAACATCGCCGAAGTCTATTACGCTTTAAAACCATTATAGAGGGTGGAGCAATCGAAACGAGAAATAAAATCGAAGCTTCAGCTCATAATGTGAATATGAAAGCTAACATGACTCTACTATTACATAATGTAACGAAAAGGTTTGCTTTAGTAGGTGATATTACTGATGACAACGCACAAATTCAGCAAAAAGCTAATTTTGAATTTCGAAAAACATTTTTATTTCGCGATGCGTCGAAAATGTTTTTTAACTGGATAAAACATGAGCGTTCCATCTGAAAATTTAAAAAAAGGACTTATTTTTGGTGAATCAAATTTTGTTTAAACGTATCTTATCATCAACGTTAATAGGTTTTTTTCATTACAATTTAATAAGTCATAGTTTATACAAAGTGTGCTAAATCGTCTTTTATAAAGCTACCTTGTGAAAGTGTTCGTCCAGGAAAGTACTGCCACCTTACCTATTTCTGACACCAAGCGGTAATGTTAGCAGTCCTGCATTCCGGTTTTGAAGGTAATGGTGCCGGTGAAATTACAGACTCATGGGACTTGTCAAATTATGTCTCAGAGAGACGTGTGTAGTGCCAGTGACCCTCAAGTCTTTGCAATTTAAAGCTCTGACAGGCGTGTCGCTTACCACCAGGCGTTTTTGTTTGACGACTTTGTTTGACCCGTTACTATATGTGAAATAAACTGGAACCGGAATACGTTTTATTTACACACTACGACTATTTACCATACGACCGAATAAAATCGTAAATGTTTCATTAAAACTTAATGATAAGAAACATAGAAAAAATCCTAAGCCTCTGTGGTACTAACCTTAATTGCTAGAATGTAATTAAAGAAAGCACTACTAAATAAAACTTTATTTTGATTGATAGTTGCGTTATCTAGTGTGAACGTAGTGTACACTATTTTCTTTAGCATACTTTCTGTTTATATTATGTTCTTTTTTAACCTTAAATAAACAGAACTCTTCAGTCTAAAAAAGGGGTACGTTCGTTATGCCCCCGGTTTTAATAAATTTTGGATTAACCTTTTTTGCAGTTAAATAGTCTATTTGCACTAAATATTGTTAATATCTAAAATTCTGAATTTAGTCATTTATTCATATGTTATTTATATATATTATATGCGTGTGATGAAATTGTGATTAGATTAAGTGCTTTAAATAAAAAGAAGACGATTTTGCATGTTCAACGATTTGTAGTATGAAAAGTCAATTTTTCGTCTCCAATTTCGTAATAATTATATAATTTTGTATGTTTGCAATAGTTATAATAAACTGTTATGTATATACTTAGGTATTTTTGTTTGATTCGTTATTTACATCCGTTGCACAAAATAGCTTTGAATGACATTCATCGTGCCTAACCCAAACCGGGGGCATACACTATGATGGCATAACAAATCAGGGGCATAACTACCTCACCCAAAAAAGGAGGATCTCAATTCGACAGTATTGTTTTTGTGTGTATATTACTCGATTACTCCGACATTTGTAAACAGAATACCTCCTCTATTTCGTACCTCAGTTGTGGTCCCATTTCAATTTGAAGAAAATATTCCATCTCTACGGGTGGCAAGTTAGGGGGTAAATCCGGTTTATTGAATTTCACCCACTTTCTGTAAACCAATTTCAATAAAACTTGGCAAACTTACTTTTGAGGTGTTTTTTTTATATAAAAAAGCTATAATTATGTATGTCAAAGTAGCAAGGCAATTTTTTTATATAAATATCTGCCAACGTTTGACTTCATAGATTACCTATGTGGAATGATTTTTGTTAAGAAAAAGTGAAGAATGGAGAGATTCTGGTTTTCATAATGGCAACACTGGGGAGAGAAGCCATGTTGTTGTTTTGTGGTTAGAGATTTTTACCGGGTGCTGTTTTTTGGATAATAAAAGAAAGATAAACTTAATTGTACATGATTGTAAAGTGTGCAGAAGGGTAACGAAGCATATCATCAATTTGAATTTCCATTACATGAGTGAGTATACATCATCATCAGTCATTGTGGTAAAGGAGTATTTTTCTTAATATTATTATGATATCAAGTGACAGGACCAACAAGTCGTGCGCCTGGTGTTAGGCGGCACGCCTGTGTCTAGCAGTTGGTGAGTTGCAGTGCTACTCTAGCTTTAAATCGCATAGATCTGACGGACACTGCTACTGTCAACCTGAGACATAAGTTGACAAGTCCCATGTACCTGTAATTTCACCAGCACCCTTACCCTTCAAAACCAAAACACAGCAATGCTCACAGTACTGCTTGGCGGCAGAAATAGGTGCAGTACTTCCTAGGGAGTTACTAGGACGAACTCTTTCACATAGAGCTCTACTGTTACTAAAAATGCTATTATGGAGAAATATTTCGCTAAAAGAAAGCCACAAGAACGTCCGGAACCGTATCAATGTGGTGAATGTACTTCTTGTTTAGTAATCATTGTTTTTATTTATATAATGCACCAACTGGATGTAACCACTACCTGTTTAATAACAATAGCTATTCTCGTAATTTGACTTTGTTATTTTAAAGAAATCTGGAAATGTAATTTATTTGATTTGATAGCATTTTGAGCACTGTGGCGTGGCAATATACCTTTTACCATTTTTACCAGTGGCTTCCCGTTACCACGTATGTTGAAACTGCCTTTTCATTGGTTATCGTCATTGACGAATAAAAGCTTCATGACCGACAACTATTTCAAAATAATTTACCTTTACTTATTGCATGCTTACAATAATTCATTTTAATATTTTATTTGTGTTATATTTAACGTAAAAAATTACATATATTTACCGAAAAGGATTTAAAAAAAGATAAAATAAAAAAATATTGTTATACAAATTCTTCATTGGATTTTGAATTTTTATCCCTATTTTTTTTTATAATTTTAAAACTTCCATTTTATTGTTCACGGCTACGGTTCGTTTTATTTAAACTGGAACAAAAAGACTACAAAAAAAAAGCAATAAAAAGAAAAAAGATTTCGTTTCACAGTGGAGACGTAATAAAGAACTAGGAACTTTCTAGGTACTACCTAGAAATAATGGTCGAGTTAGATTCAAGTTGCATTACAAATATCAGTTGTCAGTCTGTATCCATTTGTAGTCGAATGTGAATAAACTCACGTTCTCAGGCGCTATTGAAAGTAAATAAAGTTCCTCATTCAAATTTAATTTACTTCTTGAATCGTTTTGAAACACTTTATAAACAATTACGCGACTCACGATGCGTGAATTATACTAGACTGTTTATGTTAGACTCTCGCACCTATTTAAACCCTATTTAAATTTACACAAAAACGTAAAACAAATAGGTCGTCTTACATTGGAAACGTAAGCTACGTTACCATTTCAAAGTACAGTACAATAGAGAGGTACCGATGTTTTTCGAAACGCTCTACTTGGTAACATTAAGTACCTACGTTTAATGACAAAAGTTATTTACAAATATTCCTTAGAGGAACCATCAAATTACTTAATTACTTAAGACTTCTGCGACTAGAAAGGTTTACTATATATAATTATATCGTCTTACTGATGACGTTTTTCCTTAGTTAATGACTATAGCACCAGAAATTCAATGTCACGTTCTGAACTCACATAATTCGATATCGAGTAAGGAGTGGTTTGGCGC